GAGTTGTGTGGGCAGTGCAGATGCGTGCATTGTGGTGGTGTGGTAGTTGTGATGTGTCAGCGAGTTGATGAGCGGAAGTTGTCTATTGTGAGGGTAGATGATTGCTGCCCTCACATTTGTTTGGTTGGTCTTGTGGCGTTGCAGAGGGCAGCAGTGGATGAGGTGATGTGATTGACCAGATGGGAGTATGGTGAGTTGATGTTGGGAGGGTGAATGACACGATTTGGTGAGGTGTGAGGAATGGGTTGAGGGTGATTGGGTCAAGTGTTGCACCGACGTGTGGCCAGCGTACGGTTGATTGATTGATGTTGCAGTGCAGTGGCGTCACCTCAACGCCACTCTGTCCGCCTTCTCTTTCATGCAAAATGGAGGATAAGGGGATGGGGAGGTAGTAGTGGTAGAAGACAAGGAAGAGGAGGAGGAGGGGAAGCGTGTGAGAATGGGATGGAAGATCTTGAATGTTGTGTTGGTGGTGTTGTGTGGAGTTGGGTGTAGATTGGAAGTACTTGCATTTCATGAGGTGCTGCACAGAATCAACACCAACACACACGCACACACAGAATCACAGATGCACAAAAGTGTTTGGAGGGGATGGCGTTGAATCACAGATGGGAGAGTGAGGCAGAGGGGTGTGGGAATGGATTGGTCGAATGGCATGCGTGTGTTCGGTGAGCGTTGGAGGATGGGGAGGACGAGGCGGTGGCACGGAGGAGGTGGAAGTGTTTGAGTTGTGGAGTGAAGGATGTGAATGTGAAGGAGTGGTGGTGTTGGTGGAGGTGGTGTTTGGTGTCATTGCAAAGGCATGTTAATGCCTGCTTTTGTCAATGTTATTGGGAGGCAGATATTTGATGTGTGGTAATGGTAGCAAGGGGAGAATTGTGAGGGTGAGGGACGTGGGGAGGGGCAAGGCGAAGTGGTGCGGTGTTTGTGCAGGAGGAGACCCCACCAAGGCAGTGCAATGTGAGGGTATGTAGTGACTGTTCACTCGGGTGTGTAGTGAGTTGGGATACTTCATGAAAGTTGATGTTCAATGGGGATGGTTAAGTGCTCACTGTCCTGTGGGAGAGTGTCACTTTCCTTCATTCTGATTGGTTGCCTTGCATTTCATGCTGATAAAAAAACCCATTTGCAATTAGGCTAAAAGTAAATGCATTTGCGAATCTTTCCCTCAGCAAACTTTTAGTTGTTATTAAAGCTTCTTTTCGGCCCCCAATTGTGTTCCTGATTTAGCACATTTTTTTATTTTTTTATGTCATATATTTTGTTTAGGATATATCTTTTGCTTTCAGCACACATTCGAATATCATATCACATTTTTAAAGTTGAATCTATTTTTGTTTTTGTTTGGCTACAATTAACTGTTTAATCCAGGAAACCACAGGTCTGTTAAGAGCATTTTTTGCAAGGCGAGTTGTTTAATTTTTTTCCATTTTCAACTCCTGATTTTCCATCTCTTAATAAATACTGAAAAGGGAACATCTCCTTCAGACAAATTGTACCATGTACCAGCAAAGTCTTGACAACCGGTGAGAGTTTCGACTCTGAGGCTTCAAGAGCATCTCCATCCACCAGTGATGACATTCAACAGCCATCCATCAGTCTGGCTCACAAAAATGATAAACCGCCATTGATAGCCAGTAGACTCACAACACGAAGTCACTCCGCTCACGCACAACCTCTCAAATGTCAACTTGACCCATCTACTGCAAGAGGGAAAAGGGCCACTAACATCTACCTCAATGAACCGGATGCTGGAGTTTCCATGGCAGTGCTTCGACAGCCTCCAATTCTCAGCGGAGCTGATAACGATCTACAAAGAGTGATGTAAATTTTTGGAATAGGCGTGAATTTGATTTATAATTGTTACTGAAAATAATAAGTAGCCATTTTAGACACACATCAATTACCAAACAGCAACCGGCCGTGCACAGTAGCTACTACGGCAATACCTACGAGAACACTTTCCACGTAAGGTCAAGGATATGTCGACCCGATCCCATTTCACCACATTACTTCCAGGCCTACTACCCTCAAACACACTTCAACTCTACCTACGCCGATGGACAGATATACGATCACCCACCACCACCTCCTCCTCCTCCACCACCACCACCACCACCAATACCACACTCAGAAGAGAAGCAGGTAGAGCCTAAATCCCGAGCTTCTGGAAACAACAACCAAAGCTATAATGAGGGCCTGGCATCAAGAATGATCCCACCTGTTCCACCTGCCACAGCGCCTGCGTCACGCCGACGATTTGGACGAAGCAACTATGAAAGTGAGGCGAACAGTGGCGACGATGCAGAGGATGAAGACGGGGAAGAAAATGGAAGTGAAAGAGGTGGAACGCTGTCCAGAAAGCGACCAGCCTTACCAATGGGAGTTCTAGTAAATCGGTACTCCAGAGAGAGCCTTGATTGTGTGAGTAAACGCGTAATCAACAAAAGTGACATTTATTATCCAACTTTTCCTCCTCATCATTTTCGCACTTTACTTTTCATTACAGCAGAGTAAGTAAAGTGATAAGTGACTAAAAAATTTTGTTTATAAAGTTATTGTTAAAAGAGGCTAGCTTCTTACAGTCACGAAGCAGTTTCCTTATCAGGAGGACATAAATTAGATGTCATGACGATAAGAATGTTTACGAAAATGGTGAAAACCGAAACTAGTGTGTGGTTTAAAGGTTTAATCAAAACAGACATTCTTTCTAGGCCTCTATGGAGCTCCCTTCTGTGCCACCAGGAGGGCCACTAGCCTTGGCGAACACTCATTGATACCCACTGGAAAGACGTTCTATAATCTCATTTTGTGCCTTTAAGTTATAGAGACCGAGAAAAAATGGGCGAAAATGCCACTGCTAGGTGATTTAATAGCCCATAACTTGTGGCATCAAGGTTGACGATTCTGTTTTCCACCTCAAAAAAGTACCAGACTCATTCCATGCCGCTAGGGAAGAGTTTATCATTACTGGCGAAATGTACACCCTTTAATGTTTCAATGTTTTAATGCTGGAATGGATCAAAGGTATTTTCGGCCTTTATGACCAAGCAAGCGACTCCCCTCAGCATGTGATAGAAGAAATTAACGAATCGCCGGAGACGTTTGTCTGCGTGTGGTCAAGACCCCTCAGTTAAAACAAACGTACATGAAAATATTATACTCATTTTAACTAAAAGTGGCTCCTCATTTTTAAGCGGTGTGTTTTTTAAAAGAAGACAAATTGATTGAAAAAAGAAGGCTAAGTAGAACTAAAAAATATGCAGCTATGAGGAATTTATTAAGGAGTCAGTTTTAGTCCAACTCATGTCAACGCAACAATACTGTTTAGTCAATTACGCCGTTAACAATGATTTGTTCCTTTTATTAAATCACTCGCATTTTAGGAAGACTTATAAAAGATTAGCCTCTTGACTAGATTTCGCCTGTCGCATTCTCCTATGCTGCTGTTCTGTCCTGTTCCTACCCTTTTCGCCCAGTTTTCAGTGTAAGCTGTTCAGGTTTTAACGCACTTTTATGAGATTAATTGTCACTAGTGTTTGCAAGGGCATGGAAAAGGCATGATTTCTTCACGAGGTCCACAAATCGGTCTACAAATGGGGAAGCATCTTTATGACAGTCGTCCGATGTCATAAAATGGTAATTTTTTGGAAACAGAAGATTAGATATTCATAATTGACTATAATGCCGTGTTTATGTGATTACCTGTATGAGTGGCATACACTATAGCAGTCACATTTGCTGCGTGGGCTGCCCTGTGGGCAAAGCCGAACCCCAGTCTCTTACTCCTCCTCTCTAATTACATATGTTCAGCCCTTCTTAATGTCTCCCATCGTCCAATGGGAAGTCGGAGCAGGTTACAACTGCTTTTGTTCGAAAAAATTTGTTTTGTGGAAGGCTTCTTCTCTCTTTTGCGTCATAAGTTGGACTATTTTTGACTTACCGACACTTGATTTCCTGCAATTTCACTTAACTTCTGTTTTAAAGTTTACAATCGGTGGTGGAAAACAAGGTGTTTAGTCCTCTAATAGTTGCAGCAGCATGTATCATCAAATTTCAAACCCCCCTAGTCCACATCTTTGTCCTCGGGGCAGGAGCTGGGGTGGCCTGCGAGCCATGGGAAAGCCCATCCCCTTCCCCTTCGTCCTGAATACAAGCATTCAACGCCTTTTACCATCTAATGGGAAGTCTGGGCACGTTGCACTGACTAACGCTATCATCACCACTGGGACATTAATAACCTCCGAAATCAAAACACTCCCTGCCAATGTAAACGACGATTCGTCAATAAAGCGGAAAAGGGTTTTGGTGGCATAGGTGGGAGCAAGAGACTACGCAAAAAGAAGAGGAGGTTGGGATTTCTGCAAACCAATCCCTTCGGCTAATCTCACAAGTAACAAAGACGAGGGAAGAAGCGCCATCCCACCACATTGGCCCACATCAGATCACGCAAATTGAAGGACTTGTGTAGATGTCCACAAGTGTTCCCTGGCACAAATAAATACGTCTCTTTGCCCTCAGATTTAAATGTGAAGACGAAAGGGCGTGAAACAACCCTCCGACCAACAATATGCATACATTTTTTTTTTGTTTTTTTTTTAATTTATTTTTTTGAAGATAAACGCCCACGAAAAGACACCAGTACCGAGAGGAAGCACACCAGCTAGAACGATTGTACCATCACAACCGCCTCCAAATTTGCCTCAACCAATGTCAAAGGCAAAGTTAACTCGCAGACAGACGGTCGGAGCGATTCAGACGTTGGCTCAGACTTCGTCAAATCCCGAACCCACTCAGGGTGCCCTTCAGTGAGTTGGTGAAGCAAGCAGGTCAAAAGTATTGACCTGAGGACACATTTTACTTGTGTTTTTTTTTTAATATTTAATATTCTATGGCGTTGCTAGGCCTAATTCGAGGTGGGCAGAGATTTTGACACACCCTAACCACCGTTTGCAGTTCTTTAATGGTGTTGCAACTACTTTTTTTACTTCAGAAGCCTCCTTTTTGATAGACTCTTGTTCACAAGTTATCAGGTCTTCATTGCGTCTATAAGATCTCACCTTGCTGATACTAAAAACCACACCTCCTTCATTTCACTTCCCTATCTACGTCTTCACTCCTGATTGTCGAGGCATTATGGAGGAGGAGATTGGGAAGTTGTGTGAATCGCACTCCCTTTCAGCAGTCTTAAGACGAGGCCACTTGCATCAGTTCGCCCGTCACGCAGTCTTTAAGAGCCCTCTCAACAAGGACAAATCTGTTCATAAAAAACTCTTCATGTTCAACTTGAATAGCATCTTTTACTTTCCTTTTACTTTACGCAAAACAGTTAGTGCGTGTCACAGAAGTACTTATTTTTAGCATTTGTAATACCGATGAGATAGAGCTTTTGAAAGCTCTCTCAAACGCGTTGGTAGCACCTTTAAACTGGGCTAATGTCCTGGGGCATGTGAACCCAAAGCACGGGTGTCATCGTCACTACGGGGTTAAAATTTTGGCACATTTATTTGACGTTTGCTCGTTCTTGTTTGCGATTTAAGTAGCCTGAGAGTTGGCCTGGAGGTGAGGCCTTGATGCAAATCATTCAACCATGACTTGCGAATAGGCCTTATAATGGAGGCATGTTAACCCACAATATGAGATGTGGTTGACACCCTCTTCTTTTTAGCAAAAAAAAGGTACATTAAATCCATTTTATATGCTTAAGAACAAGAAACAACTTTAGACCTTAAATTTGCACAACCATTTTACAATTAATGTAATTTACTGATTAGATATTATTTGGGTTAAAATTCAAAATATTGGAGATAGGCAAAAAAATCGATTTAATGACGCCTGTCTACCGGTGGAAAGTTAAGGATTAACCTCTTTAGAAGAAGTTTGAAATACAATCGAGAGTCCATTGTTCAGTGCCACAAACGCTATTCTGCAAATTGATCTCTTCCCCTTCCTGTGTCCATGCCCTACTCCAAGCCTCAGTTGCTTTGCTCCTCTTGTACGATTGCGACATTAAATTTTGCGCCTGAAAATAGACCTATAAAGGAAGGAATACCTACCGTTTCAATCCAGCACATCCATTAGAAATTAGGAGGAACCGACCAATGAGATGCAAGCACCAATCATTTGTCAGTACAGTGTTTTTAGCCAACCAATAGTAAGTAAACGACGCGAGATGATGGTTATACGAGTGGCACTAGTATTTCTATGCACCCTAGCGTCCTCTCACTGTCTCGATCCATGCCTCTTGCGTGTGTCAGCTTGTTTAGTGCCTAAATTATGAAGTTCTTGTCAAGGCACGTCAAAAATTAGCTCTTCACGCACGCACACACACACGCAAACATCATTGCGTTAGCAATTATGCTACTGAAACAACGGCGTCTCAGTGTTCCACGTCTTAGCAACGTCTTTGGAGCATACCCAAACAAGCAAGAGCTGGAATGTACAATCATGTCAACCGATAACAGTTGGGTCGGTTCTTTGAGGTAAGCATCAACTTACCACAAATATTGCGCTCTGTATTTTCGTAAATCTTGAAACTACTACGCTATGTTTTTTTATGGAATAAAGTACACGAGGGCTGTAACGTAAATAGCTGTGTTTAAGTAAAAAGAAATAAAAAGAAGAGAGGGAGAAAGTTAACTTGAAGTTGAATTACACCATATCACAGGGAGAATAACAACTGCCTACAGTGTACAATCCCTTACAACGAGGGAGGAAGGACTTATACCACTAAAGGTGTTTTTCCTCACTGTTGACAATTGACATAATTTATGTGAATTAGCATTCTCTTTCACTAAAATAAATTCTTTCAAGAAAAAAAAAATAGGTGAATAAATAAAATTCAAATTGAAGCACCAACCTTTTAGCAATACTGCGCCATTGAAGACCTTCTGTTGAAGGTATCAACAAATTTTTTTGGGCGTAGACACATGCCTTGAGGGAGGTGACAAGGAGTGGAAAGAAGTGCCCAATGGTAAA